GTAGGGGGTGCTGTGCAATTATCCAGCCTATGGAGGGGGTAGTCAGCACCCAGACCCTCTCCCTGTGCTCACCAGATCAGAGCAACCCTCAGATCTGGGGGCTCCATGCTGCCCCCTCTGCATCCCTCCAGGGTCTGGTCACTCTCCTGGACTTGATGGCATCTGCTCAGATGAGTCCTCACTGCCCTAATCAGCTTAAGGGAGGGTGATCTGATATCAGCCTCCTCTGGGGAGGGCTCAGGCTGTGGGGTGGGGGAGGCTGATGTTGCTAGCAGGGATGGGGGGAGTGCCCCTCCCTCTGGGGTCCCTCAGCATTGCACAGCCTGGTCCCCAAAGATGGCAGGAGGTGAAGTGGGGGGGAAGGGGTAGTTGCTCCCATGCAACCAGCACTCAGGCTGGAGACACTCTTCCCCGCTAAGTTGGCCTTGCAAGGGCAAAATGGTGGGGCTGGCCACAGCTGGCTCCCTCAGAGCTGGGGCAGGGGGCCGTGCCCTCCCTCTGGGGTCCCTCAGCATTGCACAGCCTGGTCCCCAAAGATGGCAGGAGGTGAAGTGGGGGGGAAGGGGTAGTTGCTCCCATGCAACCAGCACTCAGGCTGGAGACACTCTTCCCCGCTAAGTTGGCCTTGCAAGGGCAAAATGGTGGGGCTGGCCACAGCTGGCTCCCTCAGAGCTGGGGCAGGGGGCCGTGCCCCCACCAGGGGACCCTGCTTTGGGGCTTTGGTAACTGCATGACACAGGGCAGGACACAGTTTAAGGGATGTGGGTCACTAGTAGCTCTCCCCGCCACCATCCCGCTCCCATCCCTCCTGTCCCTCTGCCAGTATCTGCACCAGGGAAGCCCAGGTGAGCCCAGTTCCTTTCTCATTCCCAGCCCTGCAATCCAAGTCCCTGCTGTTTCCGAGGCTGGACATGCTGGGGAAACGGGGGAGTTACCTTTTTGGGAGAGGGAGGACCACTGCACACCCCCAATGCAACAGGCTGCAGCCGAGGGCTTGCTTCACTCTGCTCTGAGCTCACCTGGCACGGTCTCTCTGCTCTGTCCCCAGAGTGCCATCTCAAAAGCTGGGAACCAGCCCTGCACTCCCCAGAGAGAGCAGCCAGGAGGGAAGGTGGGGGACACCCATGCAGGACTGCACCAGTGATGCTCTCGCCTGCCTGAGGATGCAGCCGGTGTCACCATGGCAACTCAGGATGCTCCCATCCCCAGGCCCCAGTGGGAGCAGCACCCCCCCCACCCTGTTGTTCTTGCCAGAGGGGGAGACAGAGCATCACCTCCCACCCAACCCAGCCTCCCCCCTCCCCAGAGCCCCGTCTGTCCCAGCCTGCCAGCAGCGCTGCTTTCTTCAGTCACCAAAACCGCCGGCTCGGAGCAGACTGCAGCAAAATCCTGCCAATGGGCGAGTGGGGCTGAGCCCAGCACTGCTCCCAGCAGAGCGACGTCCCAGGCCCCAACCAGGGGTGCCCAGCCCGGGGGGCTGATGGGGGAGCACTGTCCCTGGCAGTGGGGTGCACCAACTGGGTGGGGTGCCTGTCCTAGGTGGCTGGCATGGGCCCAGCGCACCCGCGGGCTCCAGACCTACCTGCAAGGAGACCTCGGGTGCCCTGCTCAGGGTGAGATGAGGGAATGTGGTCCCAAAGGGCCTCAGCCTGTGCTGGGAAGAGCAAGGGAGCAGCACACATGGCCTGGCAACTTCTTCTGCTGCCTTGTGATTAAAGGTAGAAGGTTTTTTTTGCTACTTTAAAAAAAAAAAAAAAAGGTGTATCTTTGTCTCTGGCTTTGCTAGCCAGCAAGAGGGCAGGATTGAGCCCTGCCCTGGCCTCAGCTTCTTGCCAGGATGGCGGGAGGACACCTCCAACTCCCCAAAAGCCTCCCAGCCCCACAGTAAGGGACCAGAGCGGGGATGGAGTAGCCCCTCTCCTCTTTTAGCAGAGCTACATCTCCACTTGCTTCACTTCTCATGCTGGGAAAAGCCTTCACGGCACAGCCAGGTCACGTCTGCCCCAGGGGATGCAGGCTGCCTGCCTACCCACCTCTGCTCCCCCTCCAGCTCTCCCAGTTCCCACTTATTTCCTCCTCTCCGCATCCCGGCTGCGCTGGCTCCTCGGCTCGGCCCCCCAAGCTGCTGACTCACATCCTCTCTCCAGACGCCACCTTCCCTTGGCCTGGCTCCCTGCAAAGCGCTTCGTGACAGTGTGGCTCAGCCAGAGCCCACAGGTGCAGGCAGTCGGGCTTCAAAACCCCTTGTGAAGCCCCTCCAAGGAACCAACTGTGATGCTTCCGAAAGAAGCCCCTTTCTCCCTTGCGAATGTGCTGAGGGTTGGGGCCGTGCTGCCACCGTAAAGCCCCCCAGCCCGGACTTCTCTTCCCCCAGGCCCTGGATGCACCTGTCAGGAGCTTTGTGCATTTTGCGTTTATTCCCTGTTCTCAGAAATGCTCTGGATGGAGCCCCAAACCTTGCCCCTGCTGCTGTCTGCTCTCTGGTGCCCAGGCAAGGGCTGCCGGGGAGATAATGTCCTGGTGCTGCTCCTGCCCAGCTGCACACTGAGACCTTGGGCCGGACTCTGCTGAGGGCAGGGGCTGGGCAGCAGGGAGGACTGGATTAATGCACTAATGCCAGATTATGCTCTAATGCAGGACTTCTGATGAGGGAGCAGCGCTCAGTCCAGCCCGGGGGGCACTCACTCCCTGGGGCAGGCTCCCCACAACTGCCCCAGGCCACAGCTTGGTGCTGCCTGGCTGTCCCCCGAGGAGCTCGATCCTCAGGGGTGACATAGGACTGTGAGACAGGCAGGGGACACAGCACAGGGTAACCTCCATGCTCAGCTCTCAGTGGGCTAGAGGTAATGCCCCAGCCGAGGCAGCCCTGGCCCTCTGCTCTGCCCGGCTCTGGGGCAGAAGGATTAACCATCACTGCAGGGCTCCAAGGCATCTGGTTCCCTTTCTTCACCTTCCCCAGCTTCTTGGCACAGAGCTGTCCCCCGTCTGTGCTCCTCAAGTCCCATACCCACCAGCCAGGCAATGCTACAGGCCATGTTTTGGCTGCAGCTGGGACCAAACTGTCTGCTGTCC